TCATTATGCCTCACCTTTAGTATAAACAGCAGCTGAGCTCAACGACATCAAAACAGTCCAGCGTCTGGTGGCGCTGATACTACAGTACTACTGCAACTATACATGTACCCACAGGACTGTACTCTGAGTATCCACTGAGTCACGTTACATCACCACCAGCAGCAGCAGCTATTTCAAATTCAGATTCAGTGAATCTCTCTGATCTCATTATTGGTTTTAATGAGTAAATATCTTCATCTGCCCAGTTCTGTGTCACATCTAACCCACTGAAGAGGAGAGAACCGCAAAACTGGACATGCACTAAAATCTCATTCAAAGGAAAAAAAAAAAAAACAGGACAAAGGACAGAAAGGAGAATTTGAGTCAAAGTTGACAGCAGGCTGCAACATGCAAAGAAAACATGAAGGCTGCACAGTCAGAAAGACAACTTGTTGCATGTGTGGAGGTGTTTAGGTGGGGGGGGGTGACAAGGTGGGAGGGGGGTGTGCTGAGTATAAATACAGACTGCAGACGGGGAGGTGACTGCAGCTCCAGGGGTCTCATGCCTCTCTGCCCACTCTCGGGCCAACACCAGTGCTGCTGCTAAGACATCACACAGATTCGTCCCTCATGTCTGACTGTTGACTCACCCACACATCACTGCCTACACCAGCCGGGACATGCAGACAGCTCACCTCAGAAAATAACAAAATGTGGTTTTTTTTAAGCATTAAATATGAAGGTGGTAAAGCTTTATCAGACACAATCTGGTGTTGAGAAGACAGACGGAAGATCTGTGCCACAGCAGATGATAAATGACAAGAGCCAGTATGACGGTGCACTCATTTCACTGCTGCCTTACATGAGCGAAACTGAAAAACAATAGAGCGGAATGTGGGGGAAAAACATGACGAAGAGACAACAATTACTCTCCAGATGAAAAGAAAACAGACAGAAGAATAAACTCTAGAAGGTTTTTTTTTTTTGGGACTGAGATGGAGTCTGACGTGCAGGTTCGAGCGAGGCAGAAGGGACAAAGAAAAAAAAAGGTTTGAGTGAGAGGTAAAACCAGGCTGCAGACAGAATGTTCTTTCGAGCTCCTCTCTATATTAATTTATAATTTGCTGGGTTTCTGGGTCCCAGACTGCAGTGGGCTGTGGAACAACATGTCCGAGGAGACTGTCAGGTTCAGGAGTGGACAGAGCGGAAAAGGCTGGGCTTCTGTGGATGTATTAAAAGAACCAGCTATGACCTGAACTTGTGGTAGTGTTAGAAATTTATGTCACCGATCTTTTGATTCTAGATGCCGTAGCATAAGGCACGCTGGAGGGTAACAGTATACATGAGCTCACAGATACGCATGTATTAATGCCAAAGTGGCAAAGTATTTCACTGAAGTCACAGCGTCACAGTGGTTATTAAACATGCCTTACAAAAAGATGGTCCTGGGTTCCAGCCCCAGTGGAGCCATATACCTAACCCTTCTCATGTAAGTAACTTTGGATCAAAGCGTCTGTTGAATACATAACTGTTAATGTACTAAGAAAGAAAAATAAATCCATCCATCAATCAATTTTCGTCCACTTATCCGTTACCTGGTCGTGGGGGCAGGAAGAGGAAACAGGGAAACCAGAGACACGAGGTGAGATCTCATAAAATGTCAACCTCACAACTGAGCAGACACTTCCAGATTAAGGTTTTTTTTTTTAAGTAGTACCTAGTACGTTACGTTGTACCTGTCCATCGCCTGTTTTCTTTTTAAGCACTTGACGCCTACTTAGTATTCACAAAACAACAGAAGCGCAGAGAGATGCTAATTGTGTTGCATGTTTCATGTATGCCCGCGGAGAAACAGTGGTCGAGGACGAAGACGTGATGAAAAAAAAATTTAACCCGACAAAAACTCACACACACGGACGGACAGACACTTGTACGAGCATATCACAGCACGTGGACACACATAGACATTAAGTGGGTCAGATGGAGGGGCTCCCTGTTGGTCCTTTCATCTCCAGAGACACCAACTAATTCAATTCTGTGTGGATATCACTCCTTCGCCATTAGCAGCTCTGGACTCACATTCCCACTCACTGGAAATAGAACATGCAGGTACTGAACATGTGTGGAACACCAGTAAACCTGACAGATTTACACTTTATCGCATTAACAAAAGACGGTCTGAGCAGATCAGTGATTTGTAAGGCTGACATTTTCTGGAATGTAACACCGACCCCCAAAACGAATGTAAACTTTAATGTAAACTAGGATTTTTAAATTGTCCATTAAAAGCAGCCCAGCTTTCCCTTATACTGAAACCTACTGTATCAGCGCGACAGCTGAACCATACAGGAAGTACACAGAGAAACTATCCCACTGTACGTTAAGATCTCTACTTCAGCCTCTAAAATTCCACAAAACCACAAGGTTATTAGAGAAAAAGCAGCAGATCAGTTGGAAAATTCAACAACAAACAACAACAACAACAAAGAAAAGCAGCTAGAACGTATCCTAAGATTTTTACCTCTGGGTTCTTCGGCCTGTTTTGCCAGTTTACGTAGGGCTGCAGCAAATCCAGAGTGAGCAGACTGGGTAGCTGGGCTTCCATTAGCTACAATAGAACCATTGAGGGGTGACGGGGTGAGGGGGCTGACCGTCACCGTGGTACGGGTCGCTGTGGAGATCATTCCTAATGATGGTGACTTTGGCTCATGGCTCATGCCTACAAAATAGACAAAGACAGAGAGAGAATAGGAGATGGTTTAGTATCTAGTACTAACCGCAGCCCTGGGTAGAATCTAGAATATTCAACAAATCAAATTTCCTGGTGGGAACAATTAAAAAAAAAAAAGCAAAAACAATTACATCAGCAATTCGCCAATGCCTTTGAATTTCCAGGGAAAAAGACAAATACTCCTTTCTTTTCATTTCACCGACTAAATCTATTGGTTTTACATGTAACAAATGTGCACATTTTGAATTTATTTATGATACACAGACAGTAAAAACCTGGGCCGGATTAGTGGAACACAACGCTAACAAACTTGCAGAATTTTTTTTAGTAAATTTTATAGCTATCTAGTGCCACATAGAGGTAGAATAGTAAATTGTTCTGCTCGTCACTGATGCATTGACAAACAAAAAAATTGTTTTTTTAGACCAATTAGGTGAAATTTGTTGCAGTACTGTCTGGTCACACATAGTCCTTCTGCCTGTTAAATAAAGAACTAACAACATATTTAAATTCCACCTTTCTGGAAGTAGAGATGTGTAAAAACTAAAGAAGGACAGCGAGAGTAACGCTACATTTTCTCTTTGCCCTGGACAGTGAAGCAGACAGGACAGAGTGTGGTGCCGGGTATCAGTATGTGACAGCTGGGATGGATAGGGACTGGTGGTGTGAGGGGGCAGCAGGGCTCTGCTTGTATAGCTCAGGGTCAAAGGTGAAAGGTCAGAAGGGCATGTCACTGCTGAAAGCGCTGCAGTCTGGCTGCACGTCTGCCAGAGGACCACGGTCACAGACTTTTACACAACACCTCCAGCACACATGCTCAAATTATTAGAGCCTGAATTGTTTTCTCACACGGCGTCCGGCGCCGTACGCCATCGCCATTCTGTACAGCAAACTCATTATGGCTGGGTTTTTTTTTCCCTGAACTGGACCGTTGACTCTTGAATTGATTAATGAATATCTTCAGTCTGTGGATATGACACCCCGCAGCACATAAAGCAGGAAAAGCCGAACCCAACAGCCTGAAATAAAAAGTTACAGCTCCATCGTAAAATGACAAAATCTCCATTCAGTAGCAGCACCGGGGAGGACGCAGCCTGTGATTTGTAAAAGCTTGTCGGTGGCTGGAGGGTGAGAGAGCCGTGAGGAGGGAGGTTAAGACAGCTGTCCTTTTCCTTCCTGTGTGTGTGTGTATGTTGAAAGGTGACACCCTGTTGACAGCCCTTCAGTCAATAAAATCCTGACATAGCATTATAGCTCCCAGTGGTGAGATGAAGCACATCCATCCATTCTTCCACACACATGGAGTGAGGTCAAAATGACAGTGTGTGTGGTTTTGTTATGTATTCATTGCTAATGATGAGAAAAGAAAAGAAAAAAAAAAAACCACAGCAGATACAAGGGCAGAAAAATTACAAATCATAAAACCGATGCCAAACCTCTGACAAGACTTTGAGACCACTATGAAAACACACAAGTTTAGTTGTCTTAGCACGCACAACACGTCTTTCTCTAACTATTTAACTACTAACTACTTTACTACTCAAGTCAAGTCCAATCACAGATGTGTTTGGCACAAGCAACCAGAAATATGGAGAGGGCAATCCATCAGTAGTTACAGTAGCCAAAACAACAAAGTCCAAGGTACAGGTGTATAAAATAATAAATTAACCATAAAAGCTGATCATAACCTAACGACAGAAAAGAGACAGCAAAAACACAGAGCTTGAACAAAATTACATCAACAAATTATTAATAGACATAAGAATCAGAGAAGTTAACCCAGACGTTGGAAAATTATTGCAGCATTCAAATAGAGGAAGTACTATGAACTGAACATTTGATAAACCTGTGCTGTGTACATTGGAATATGCCCTAAAACCCAGAAAAACTCGGCTAAAAACAGTCAATTTCCACGACTTCAAACCAAAAAACAGGTCATCCTGAAAAAAAAAAAAAATCGTTTACCATCCCCACAGTCAACTTCTTGACCTCAGCTCAACGTTTAACGAATCAGGTGATTTAAAAACTTTCGCATCCAGTCATCGCCCAAACGTGTGCTCAGCTAATTCGACTAGCGCTGAGACAGTGCATCAATAGCATAATTAGATAAGCAGGGGTTATATGTGGGTGTAGCCGGAGATACTGAAAAGGCTGTTGAAAGATAATGTGACCTCTTAGTGAAGAGACAGCAGGGGCACTGTACCTTGAATGTGTGTTTTTTATGGACACACACACACACACACACACACACACAGACAGACTGGCATGCCGGGCACAGAGTGGAAAACATTCCTAACACCTCTAAAGTTGTCGTGCCATTACCCTCTCTATCACCCAGTGCACTCTGAATGAACCCAGTGGACAATTAATAATGGAATCAACAATGACCAGTGCCTGAACAACACACACACACACACACACACAGACTGAGCCATTCAGAGACAAACAAGCAAACGTCACATGTCAGCTTTAGCCGCCGCCCGCTCCTGTAACGGCGACTCTGTCAAGACATTAAAGGCAGAGTGTCCTGGAACTGCCGACGAAAATAAACCACGCAATCAATATGGAAAATTGTCCAGTCATTTGATTGGGGCACCACAGGGTACTGTCATCGGTAGTGCCTTTATCCGCCCATTCTTTGCAGAAAACGGTGTTTCCCAAAGACTGGGTCGTGACCCTCAGGTGGGTCGCAAGAGATTTTTTTTTTTTTGGGGTCGTCTCGCATCATGTTTCCCAGGAGTTTACGATTAATGTCTATTGACTTGGGTCGTGAAGGTTTGTGACTTTTAAAATATGGGTCCCCAGAGAAAAAGTTTTGGAAACACTGCCCTATAACATAAATTAACAATTTGTAGGTTTACAGTGTGGAGAATTAATGCATCAAAGAAAAAAGAAAAAAGAGGACACACGACACATTATTATTGTTGGTGAACAGTGCTGACATCGTTATCTATGGAGGCCAATTTAATTATAAACCTCTAACATTTGAATGAAGATTTAGGGTCATTTTGACCAAAACAATTTTTTATAGTTCAAATGAGGGTTTCCATGCAATAAACTAGGATCGTTTTTTGACCACTAGGTCAGACCTTTCTACCATGAGTTGCCCTTCCCACATCCTACAAACAATGCTAGCCTTAAAAGCTAAATGTACGTTTCTGTGTTTGTTTGTTTTTTGGCCCAGTTCGAGGGTTTGATCTGTAAAGACAATAATGTTCTACCAGCACACCGGACTCATTCATTTAAACTGTGTTTAAAGCCTTTAGTCACATGCTCACATGTTTACCAACACTAAACTAGAATTTCAGCTCACTCTACTTTTTTTAAGAGTCCGTATTTTAGGAGACGGCGAGAAGACGAGAGTTTGACAAACAGCCAACAAAACAGGAAAACCACAACAGGACGACACACAGGCAGAGCAAAAGAAACAAACTAACAGAGTTTGACACACACACACACACACACGCACACGGAGGTCCACCTCCCTCACAGTTAAACAGCACAGTCAGAGCTCCTTACTGCACAACGGGACGGAGCTGCCTGGATCCCCCATAGCTGCATCTTCACGTTGAGCCCAGCCCAGCAGCGACCGGCAGACACCGGCAGGACACAGACCATTTTCCTGCTCCTCTTAAATTTCTCCTTCTATCTCCACTTTCCGCCCTTTCC